GATTTCGGGCTATCCAGATTGATCCTTCCCAACGAAACACATGTCACGACTGAGCTGGTAGGCACTCTCGGTTACATCCCCCCTGAGTATGGACAAGGGTGGGTGGCTACTCTGAGAGGTGATATGTACAGTTTTGGGGTAGTCCTGCTTGAACTGCTCACAGGCCAGCGGCCTGTTCCAATCTCGTTTGTGTCAAAAGAACTCGTCCAGTGGGTATGGGAGATGAGATCAGAAGGAAAACAGATTGAAGTCCTGGATCCAGCACTACGGGGCACAGGGTATGAGGAGCAAATGCTGAAGGTGCTTGAAGCTGCTTGCCAGTGTGTCAACCGTAATCCAGCCATGAGGCCAACAATACAGGAAGTAGTTTCTTGCCTGGACAGCATAGACGTCGACCTAAGGATATAAAATTCAGTCAAACATAAAGTAACATACAAATGTAAATGATAAGTTATATTTCAGTGCATAGAGTAGATGTGTAGTTTTCACAAGAACTACTTCTGTTGACTGATCATATTACCTCTTTTTTAACAGCTTAAACTGGCAACCATACTTTTGTAATTCATCTCCCTTGTCCCCTCTCATGAACTATTACACATGATGACTCTTGAGAAACAAGTTACAGTTTTGTATTCCATCTCTGCTTACCCTTTCCGTGAGCTAATGTGCATGATTAATCATGAGGAACACAAAGACTATGGGCAACTGTTCACTCATATTCGATTTATTCTCGAGTTCCAGGTAATTTGTTCTCAATCTCATAAATTTGGACTTGGTCAGTTATATGAGCGCTACCGCAGCAAGGGCAGAATTTCCGACTAGATGGAAAATGAAATATATACAGAATGACAATATTAAATCAGAGATCGGAACAGTGGGGGCAAAGAAATGAAAGCAAACTAGAGGTCACCAACACTGAAATGGCAGGCTCGTTAATGGCTCCCAATGTGAAGGCCCCATTGGCGGGGAGCTGGGGACTCACAACTCCCTCCTCCGCCAGATGTTGCAACCTCAGAATCGAATTCTCTGTTAAACCCTATCTACACGGACCTCTGAAGAAACCGACAGTGCAGCAGCGAATCGAAAATAGTATCCCCAAACACTAAACGGAGGAGAAGAGATCAAGAGAGAAGGTTATCTAACCCATATAGGCGCTCTTCTGGTCCTGCGTGCGGCTGCGCAGGTCTCCAGAGACGGGGCCGCCGCCGTTCGCCGGTGCGGAACAGCGGGAGGTCATCTCGCCGGCGAAGGAAGCGGAAACGCAATTTGCGCCTGGAAGTGAATAACAATGGGCCAGAACTCGGGTCCATGAGAGGCCCAGTCGTGAAGTGATGGGCTGTGAAATTAAGCAATCTGGAGCCTTGTTGGCCCAGGGGAAAATATTTTTTTCTTTTCTTGAACATACAAATATTTTTTTTTATGATCTTTTGATTACAGTCTGCAGATCCTCCAAATATCATATAACCGATTCTACTGGAATCTCAAGCATAGAACACTGGATTTAATGGAGTCAACGCAGATGTATCATTACATATATCGTATACATAAATATGATTCTATATTTTCAGCATGAATAATACAGCCAGTGTCACAACTCACAAACATGGATATGGGGAAGAAAATAACCATTACATATATTATCATATACAAAGATAGCAAATAGGGCATAGCTGAGACCAATTGCCTATCCAAGTAGAGGAATTGGTAAGATCAATTTTCATGTGGCTCCTGTAAATAAAGATGCTATAAATATGATGCAAGGCATTTCCTTCAAGCACATTTGTAGAAACATTTCCTTTTTTACCTTCGGTTCAAATCAATTGGAATTTGCCAGGATTTTTACTGTAAAAACAGCAAAAGAACACAAAATTAAGCATGGAATAGGGAGCAGAAGACAAACAATATGAGGATAAAATAATCTGCTAATACCATAAAATTAGATGTCAGATTAAAACTTTAAATGGAGATTCCCACACTAGCAAGAATGCATCAAATGCATGGTCAAATCTCTTCCCATGAATCTCATCACAAGTTCCTTTTACCCAAGTCTAACTGAGAGTTAAACTGCTGCTAGTTTAAACAAAAATAAACCAAGAACACATCAGCTAGAGTAGAGAATGTTTAAAAAACCTTAACAGCTCATAAGCATTAAACATATCACTATGGAGTAAACTAGTATTACCAAGCATGCTTCTGTAGCAACACAAAAACTAGGCACAAGCAAACTAAGCACATAAATTAAACTGAAGACACCACAAATCAGCTCAAAGCAGTAGCATGCATGCAAATAATGATTAGCTTCACTATTGCATTCTAATATAGTCCATATATTGACAACAAGTCATCAGAAACCTTCAGTCCTTGAACTCCAAAGGCGAGGTCAAGTTATCATGCTGAGCTTATTCCTGCAATAACCTAGCTTACAATCGTTGGCAAAGTTTAGATGCAGCTGACTTCATAAGAAACAGAACATATAACTCAAAACATTTTACAAGGAGGGAGATAAACTCAGAACCCATAACTCAAAGAAACAGAACGAGCTGGGATCCTGGACATTAGGTTATAGGATTTTGCACAACCCATATTAACTATTAAGTATTCGGAATTCCAGACACTGCAGAGGCAGAAGAAAACCTGAACTCGTTTAAGATAAACACATACCATACTACTAATCCAAAATCTCCTGGGGAAGTAGCAAGAAAGTTGGAAACTACTCACGCAATACATGTCTTTTCTACTACTGCTTCAGAGATACGAACGTTGAATACATATTTGGATTACAAATAATGTAAACTCGAAGTGAAATTTTATAGTGCTTGGAAAAAACTAGAGCATCCATTTGGATAGATCAGATGGCTATAAAATAAGAATAACCAATGTAGAGAAAATTAAGTTGTGGGCCAGAACCTGAAATATGTCGGTCCGAAACAAAAAAATATATGGGTCAGAAATTATTTCTAAAATAAATTTGAAGGGTAGAATAGCACCTTTTGCCTCGTATCTCCCTGTGCTGACTTAGCGTGATGATGTTCACCAAGATGTGCATCCGGTTCTAGTCTGCAGCAGATCAGATCGATCGAAGTGAGCTTCTTGCGATGCATTTATGGCGATGGCGTGGCGGCATGCATGCAAAGGATACAGAGATGCAGGTGCTTACTTGGCAGTGAGGCGGGGATGAGGGTGGCCATCCAGAGCACCTTGGAGACGGAGGTCCTGGGGAGGAGGACGAGCGCGGTGCGGCTGACGGCGGCAGCGCCGGCGGCCATGTGGAGCGCCTCCTTGACCTTGGCGTCGATGTCGCGAAGGCAACGACCACGCAGGGGCTGTGCGTCCGGACGATGCCCCGCATGCTGCCGTAGACGGCCTGTAGCACGGGCACCTCGGAGCGCAATGGCCTGGTGTCCAACGCCGATGCCGACGCCGAGTTGAGACGGTGGCGAGGCCCTCGCCGCGTCAGTTCGTCCATGCGTAGGAAAAAGATGGGAGAAAGGCAGGTTGAGTATCCAATGGAATAACCATATTACCCTTAATTACTTTTAACTATCCTCAAGGTATTTTTTCCAGCCAAAAAAATATTCTACGGGAGGAATCGCGGGTTCCTCCTAAGCACCGTAACAAAGCTCAAACTCGAAATAAATGTATACGTTGCGCGTCAAGATCTTTCTATGGCTGTCATTCCGAGAAAGCAGTGGACTGCTGATCGTCGTGCACGCCATGGCCTCGACGCGAGAGAGCAATGCTATCTCTGCGATCAGGCATCTGAAACCATCGATCATATTGTAGCCTGCAGTCCATACACAAGGGAAGTTTGGCATCACATTTGCCAAGCCCTCGCTCGTTCGACACCTTCCCTCCACTTCGCAAACAATTCGAGCTTTTTGGATAAGGTTACGATGGATGTGGACAGGACAGAAGCAGAAAGGGATGACTCCCTCTTCGCGCTCGTCTCATGGACAATCTGGAAGGAACGGAACGCTCGATGCTTCCGGGATGCCTCCACCATAGTGAGCCAGTTGCTGCAGGTGATCAAGGCCGAAGCGGCAATTTGGATCCAGGCCGGGGTACGTGACCTGGAGTGCTTGGCGACGCAGGCGTAGAGCCATGGTTGATCGTCTTGGTTGTCCGATTCAAAATGTAGCCAATTCACGTCCAGTACCGGCTAGCGCTGGAGGTTTCCTGTTTTGCAAAACTCTTTCTACTTAATACGCTTGTGTATTCGAGAAAAAAAATAGATGTATACATGTCTTTATAGACATGTGAATTTTTTATGCAATATAGAATCAACAAACATAGCATAAGTCTACCTTAGACTAGTGAAAGTAAATAGAAACTGATATTAAAACATGTCAATTACAGAACTATACCTTCAATGATTCAGTGCCTTTAAGATAGTTTAGTCTCCCATAAAACAATAGATGCTCCCTTCCTGTTAGTTTTTCTCCAAGTAAGCTACATCAAATTCAAAGTGCATGAAAACTGATCGCACATAATGCAACAGTAATCTGCAGAAATGGGTTTCAGATAGAAAATATCAGTCTTTATATCCATTCTATGTAGATAGGCAGTGCCAGATGTTGGTGGAATAAGCCCAGTCATATGCAGGGGAAAATGTCGCTGAGTGCATAAATATCATCTAAATTTTGTCAAAAATAAAATAAAATAATAAGCTATGTTGCTGTACCACACTGATGAAGGATGTTTTCCCAGTTCCATTCGGGCCAAGCTCCACTCTGCTCTACTGTATTGCTTCCTCGGTTGAGTTGCATCTGCCGGGGTGCGGCGCCGGCGATGACCGACGGCGAGGGGGCAGGCGTCGCTTCCACCTCCGCAGGCAGCAATTAATTAAGAACTAAATCTTGTTACAAAACCAATCGTAGCACTCCACAACTCGTATACTGAGTCCGATTCGAACGCACGGTCACATTTAATTGCTGTTATATAACGAAGCGAAGAAGAAGTCTGCAGGGTGCACGCATCCGATCGGACTCCAATCGATCGCCATGCCGCCGGAGGAAACACCGGGCCTCGTGGCCGCGAGCGACGAAGCCGTCCACCATGTCCACCACTCGCCGCCGTCGTCGGTGACAATAGACCACCGCGACCACAAGAGGAAGAGGAAGCATAGCGTGGCAAACGATGCCCTTCCTCAAGAACTCGCCGCGGCGCGGTCGACGATCGACACCGACCGCGGCGCCACAGAGCCTGCCACGCCCACGGGTGGAGCGCACCGCGGTCAGAGGCGCGCGCCCACCGCGGCGGAGAGGGTGGTTGCTGGTGGCTCGTCGAGCAGGGACGACAGGGCATTACCATCCGTGGCTCCACCACCAGCTTCGAGCAAGGCAATCCGCGTCAAGCACTCGTCATCGTCGTTCGTCATCGGCAGCGGCGGCGGCAAACAACATCCGGCCGCCGGCAGCGGCAGCTCGCCGGTAGGCGGCAGCCACTCCTATTACGCCAACAGTCACGCAGCTGCCGCGCCGAGTTCTTCTAAGAGGCTTATCATCCGAGTACCGTCTGCCACCCCGCCGCCACCGCCACTGCACCTTCCGCCCAAGGCGGCGAGACGGCCGCCCTCGGCGTCCGCCGCCACTTCTGCCGCCGAGCCGCTGAAACCGGACGACGACGGCGAGCGCTTCCGCCGGGGTGTGGAGGTGTTCGCGGAGTGGGACGTTGCCACCCAACAGGCGGCGGTGAACCGCTTCGTGAGACGGCAGTCGCCGCCGAAGGGAGACGGCTTCTCGTTCTGGCTCACCCCAGCTGAGGCAGATGATGACCTGGAGTACGTTCACAAGATGGTGGAAGAAGCCCGGACGACGAGCAAGGCGGCTTCCGGATCCGGCAGCGGGAAACCACGCCGGCGAGATTTTTTTTTTCACTTTTTTTTAACTAATTTTAAATCTAATGTTGTTCCCCCTCCCCAAAACTAAGACTTTGGCCGCGCCTATTGCCATGGCGGGGCGAAACGTCTGTGCCGCGCCATGCATGGTGGCGCGACGGGAGGATGACGTGGCGAAGACCGGGGCGCTGAGCGGTGACGTGGCAGGGTCTGCCACACCACCGACCTTGGCGTGGCAGTGACGCGCCCTGACCGGTGGCGCGGCAGAGCCGGCTAAAAGGCCCGCGGCCTAGTCCCGCCTGCCTGCTGCGCCCGCCGCGTCCACGCCCCTGTCGCCTCGCCTGCCCGCCGCTTGGAGAAGACTATTTTTAACTTTTATTAAGTTGTTACCAAAATATTTTGAATAATAAAGATGAAATTAGAGAAGACTATTTCAAAAAAAATATAGGCGTGAGAGATTTGGTAAGTCTAATCTAGTCTAATGAATTTAGTTTGACAAGTTTTAGTAGCAATTAAAATTATAGCTTGTCAAATTTTTAACATGATAAATTTTGGAAGCGCACCCATCGTACCATCTTTGTCTCCCATTCTTTCTGTCTCTCCCCGAAGAGGAACGGCCGAACGGGCACAAGGTCATCTTCCTCTTCGCAAAAATCATTGTAAGGTCTCCTTGTCCTTTGGTGTATCCTAGGGGTGAGTGCTAGCAATTTCTTCTATAGATAGTGTTTGGTTTGAATAGGACAAGGTCGACGCTGCTCGGACGAGCGCGGACGCGTGAGGAAGAAGAGGAGCGCAGCGAAGAACCAGACCGGCGCAGGCGCCGCGTCCACCCGCCTGCCCGCCGCGTCGCGCCCTACCGCCACTCCCAAGTACTGTCGGCGCTCGGCCCTCCGTTGCCACCTCCCTCCCTCCCTTCACTTCCATTCCCCGGCCGTCTCCCTCCCTTCTCGGCCTGCTGTCGGTGCTGTAAACAATTACAAGTGCTGCCGCGACGCATTGAAACTAATATGAAGCAAATAAATGGAGTCCGTGTGCAAGTTGACAAGTTTCGACAGTAATTTAACTCTGCAAGTTTCAAACGACAATATTCGTGAGTCTGCAAGTTTCGAACGACAATATTTGTTCGACACAACTAACTAAGTCCCAGGAGTGTAAGCATCCCTTGGACGCCTCTGTCTCTTCGAATTTATAGGCAACACATTGGGGGTGTAGCTAACGTCCGTGTGGTCGCGTTGTCGGTGCGTATGGCTCGTACCCTGCAAGTATATGATATGCACGATTACTTATAATCTTTATTATCGTTAGTTCATGGAGCCTACGTATTTAAAGAGACTACCTATGTTACTACCTGTGAGGCTCCTTGAGTACCAAGCGGGGCACCACCTAGCTGAGACATGCCGATCTCGTCCTGCGGTCAATCGTCCCACTGGTGATGCTGTCTGCGGAAGCCCGGGGGGTCATCGTCGTCGTCATCGTAGTCCTCGTCGTCATCGTTTGCAGGGTCCTTCCCAGCAATATAATGTGGTGGTGTATGCACTGCGGAAGTGGCACCTATCACCGGCTGAGAAGAGCCGGCTGGTGTCCTCAAAGAGCCAAAAGACACCCGATCGTGCCGGGACAGCCGGTTCCACCCAAGGAGTGTCTATGCAGCTCAGCTTCTAAGCTAGCTTCCTGCAGCTCCGCTTCACCTTTTGCATAAATAGACGTTAAAGTTAGTGTATTTTCCAAACGCATATACACTAAAGAAATATTTTTGGGACAGAAAAGTTTATGTTTACCTCCACAAAAGCCTCGAGAACGCCTGGCCCCTGCCCTCTAGACTAATGAAGCCGAAACGCTGCTTCGTTGGACAGCCTTGACAATTATGTCGACTGGATACAGAAACATGGTTGGACAGTTTTAGTACACGTACTTAATACCAAATAGATAACAAATTATACCATTCGAGTATCTTACTATGTATCTTTGAAGTGGGGCTCTCTGTAGCTGTGTGTCGTCCTTAGTGGCAACGTCGTACACATCTTCGATCACATCTTCCTCATCAATCGCCTCCTCAGTGTACGGGGGCTTTATATGTGTCCTCGTAGACCTGTGAAGCCACCGCAGGTACTCGTCGAAGGTGTGTTGGTCATGTGGGGGACCCGCATCGACCGGCTGCCGGTCCCTGTTCTACCACAACTGGATGTACGCGTTGTGTCACCCGCCAATCCTTGGTCTTATACCTTTTTCTGTGGTCATACCTACAACAAAACGATTGTTAGTTGTACCATACATACCTCTGAATTGTAGCTTTGTTATTAATCGATAATGCACCTGTGCAATTCTTGGTTGGTGGAGTAAAACGGTGGTGGGTAGCCTGTCATTCTTCCAAACTGCCTGTAAACCCTGATGGACAAGTGAATCTCAACCACGTGGAAGAAAATAAGAGAGACGTTGCAGCGATACTCGTCTAACTCATCCCTAGTGACAGGACTCAGATAGTACTCGAGCTCCGGAGCATCCCAAGGACACCAATGCACCTAAACATTTCGTAATTGAGTTAGGTTGTGATATAGTGTACATCGAATAAGATACATGTATGATAGTAAAGAAAGCATAACCCGGTGCTGTGTCAGGACGTCGAGATCGTCCGTCTACTCCCTATACTTGCGCCTCTTATTCCCTCTAACTAACTCTGCTTACGTCTAGATATACAGAGCTGTAGGGAGTGTATCCTGCCCGTTCCATTGCTGCATTGAACACGATAATGAATTAGCCATTAATATTTTCATCACATGTAACTGCCTCGAAAAATATAGTGAACCAAAGTAATTACCGGTAAACCAGTAGCAAGGGGCCTCCCAACGAGCCATCGTTCCCAACACCAAACCTGGAGTAGGTAGTAGCAACCCCCAAGGTTCGTATACCCTGAGGTGCGACGGTAGGCAACGCATAGTTGTCGATATGTCCATGCCAAGACTGCGCTGCCCCAGCTGTACGCCGCTATGTTCTCCCACGGCTGGCGTAGTATATCAAGAAAGATTCAGCTGATGGTGTTACCCGAGGCGTCTGGGAAGAGAAAAGCACTAAGGAAGTGCCAGAGCCACACTCTAGCGAATTTGTTGATCTGAACCTCATCAGTCTGTGGGTCTAAGTAATCAAAGCGCTCTATGATCCACGATGACGAAACACCGAAACTTTTCCTGAAATTCACCAAAGAAAATAAGACCCGATGGCTGCAGGAAAGCAATGCAAGTATTAAATAGGCTTGAATTGCTCACTTATTTTTCTTGGAAACCTCGTCGTCCGGTGGAACAAAGCCAGTGAATTGAACCACCAGCTCCCTCCAGTAATCGTTGTCAACTACACTTGTCACTGAAAGTCCCCCCAACCGAAGGCCAAAGATAGCCTTCACGTCCTGCATAGACAAGGTCATATCGCCGCAAGGTAGGTGGAACGTGTGGGTCTCAGACCTCCACCTGTTATAAGAATAGAACAACTATTAGTTGCCTCAAATTTGTTATAAGAATGTTTACGTACAATGAAGGCACTCGCGCCTGTCTACAGCTGCAGTAAGTAGTGCTGGGTCAAGGGACGGAAGACCGTAGTTGACAACACGGACAAGCTCGAGGAAGCCGACACGCCGTATGTATGGCGCGTAACGCTCGTCCCACTGGTGCACCCTGGTGTGCGTGCGGGGCCTCAAAGGAGGCAAGGCCACCTCTGCGTCGGTGTCACTCAAGGTGTGTGCTCAATGCGGCTCGTCGTACTCCACCTCAAGAAGGGGTACAACGGGTGCTGCGTGGAAGGAGCCATCCTGTTGCAAATTGGTAAATAAAGGGTTAGAGTATTCAAATTAACGATATTCAAATTAACATTATGTAGCATTGCAAAATTTAAACTACTTGTTATGCAAAAGGAACACAATATGAAAGCACATGTATATATTCAAAGTAACATTAACAGACATATTAAACAACTTCACTAGGAAAATAAGCAACTTCTATGCATTCAAACGGGACACAAACGTCATTGAAGCTAGGAGATTCATCAAACTATTCCAAATTACCGTATCACGTACTACTAAGTACCGACACTTGAAAACTAGTATCTATACTGACAATATTTATTACTATAAACTAACTAAATAATAAATACCTAATCAATCCCTAAACCCAAAAGCCTAACTAACAGTAACCTAAACCCTAACTACCTGACCAAACCTTAACTATACTACAACATACAATCTAAACCCTAAAAACTACCTACCTAAATAAACAAATTCACTAACCTAACTGTACTAAACCACTAACCCTAACTATCCTAAATCACTAACCCTAACTAAAATAACATTCATAATAACAAGAAATCGAGAGAGGGAGCTACCTTGATATGAGCCGAAAGAGAGGAGGCGGCGTGGCAAAGCGACAAGCTACATGGGTCAGCCTGAAGCGAGGAGGCGCTGGTTGGCGAGCATGGCGGCAATGGGCTCGGCAAAAATGCGGCGCTGGATGGGCGGGGGCGCAGGCAGGGGCTAGGCGGGCGGGGGCGCAGTCGAGGCGAGGCGAGGCGACGCTGGGCGGGCGGGTGCGCAGGCGACGGCGGCGTTCGAGGGCGAGGGCGGGCGCAGTGGGGCGTCGCGCAGGCTTTTAATTGGGCCTTGCCGCGCCACCAGCGATGGCGCGTCACAGCCGCGCTAAGATGGGGTGGCACGGCAGACCCTACCACGACGACGCCACGTCATCCTCCCGCTGCGCCACCATACATGGCGCGGCACAGGCATTTCGCCGTGCTATGACAATAGACGCGACCAAAAGTGTTAGTTTTGGAAAAAAAAATCAAACAGTGTTAGATTTAAAATTAGTTTACAAAAGGTGTTAAAAAAATCGTCGGCGCTGACACATCACGAGCGTTTGCGTTAAATCTTCTTGTCCACCAGGGCACCTCCACTGTCTCAACGATTTTGCCCTGACAATTTATCTGTTTTGAGACATCGGCCTGTTCACTGGTTGGTTTTTGAACTGATAAGCTTGGCTGGTGCTGGTTTGTTGCAAGAGAATAGCTGAAACCAACGAGCGAAGGTTCGCTAGTTGTAGTGTTCGGTCGGTTGGTGGGCCCTGTTTAGGCCCTGTTTGGTTTCTACATGCGCTCTTAAAATTTCTGTCACATCGAATATTTAGACACATGCATAAAATATTAAATATAGACTAATTACGAAACTAATTACATAACTTATGACTAATTTGTGAGACGAATCTTTTAAGCCTAATTAGTCTATAATTTGACAACGTGATGCTACAGTAACGTGTGATATTGACAGATTGATTAGGCTTAAAAATCGTCTCGCAAATTAGTCTTCATCTATGTAATTGAATTTAAATTAATCTATATTTAATGTTCTTTATTAATATCTAAATATTCGATGTGACATGAATTTTAGGAGTAATTAAAGAACTAAACACCACCTTAGATTAGAAAAATAAAGGCGTCAGCTTTCTCTTATTGCCAGAGCAAACTACCGGCCTCAGGTCTCCATGCGTGGATTCCACTTGCTTTTCTCATTTTTTATTCAGTATGGTTCGAACCATCCGTAGCATGCGAACCGAGCAAAGATTCTGTATGGTTCGAGTGCTCCAGTGTACGAATCGAACCATACTGCCTCCACGGTTCGGTTTTGACACACACTGGAGCTGCTCTGAGTTTCTTCCATTCGATTTCGATATATTTTGGCTCGACAGAACAGTCGAATAATTTTACACTTCTCTCATATTTTAGGTCCCGTCTGCATCCCAGACGGATTTTAGGAATCAGGATTTTCTACATGGATTTTAGAATCCAGATTTTAGATAATAAAAAACTATGCTGTTTGGATCTCAAGATTTTAGTCAGGGATTATGGAAGTTAGAATGGGTATATTGTCCATAGTGCCCTGAATATTATCTTGCAAGAGCCATCGTCACTTTGCTCGCGACTCGTGCGGTGGGTCGGAGGCGGTGGAGCAGCAACGGCCCGGCTCCGGCGGCTGGCCAGCAGCGGCGCCGTTCAGTCAAAGTGCTCGCGTCGCGTGAGAGGAGCGGAGCAGCGGGCGTAGCTAGCGGCCCTGCCGCCGTTCACGCAAGAGGGGCGGAGCAGCAGCGGGCCGGCGCGGGCGGCCGGTCACCGTTCAGTCCGGATGCTCGCGCGGGAGGAGCGAAACAGCGGCGGCGTGGGGGCCGTGCTGTAGCCGTGACGATGGCTGGATCCGCCTGGGCACTGGGTAGCTAGGGCCTACGGGTGGTGGCGCCGCATACGCTGCAATCGCTCTGCCTCTTGGGACGGATCGAGGATTCGAGGTTGCGTTGCGTGATGACTGATGAGGATGAGGATATGGTGGGGGCAAGATCGTCTTTTCACGTCCTGAAGGGAGAAGTCTCCCGTGCAATCTACCTTCCGAGTATAGATGGCCATCGGGCTGTGCCGGCCCGGCCCGGCGGCACGGCGTGCCGTGCCTGCCTGACGCGGTGTCGTGCCTCACACCGACCCCGCCGTCTTGCCGTCTTGCGTACCGCATTGGCGTGCTTTCGTGCTCGCCTCCGGCCCAAAACGCGCCCGGGGCCGCTTGGCCGTGCTGTCGCCGCCCGATGGGCACACGGCGCGTGCCGTTACCCACCGGCGCGTGCTTTCGAAGCTAGCTGCCGAGCTCGAGACGACGACGGCGTATGGAGATTGGAGAAGCCGATGGCGGCCGCAGACGAGAGAGCGAGAGAGAGGAGGTGACCTCGCAGCCACGACAAGTCCACAGAAATTTGGGGCAGCGCGCGAAACGCGAGCTCGGGCGCTGGGGCCGTCGCCCGCCGAAACTCACTCCAGTCCGGCGTCCACAGGGGGTGCTGGGCAGCGCGTCGAGCTCACTCCCAAAGGCGGAGCTCGGGGCTCGGGGCGGATCTGGCCGAGGAGTGTGCCCGGCCCGGCCGGCAATTCTGCCGTCTTCTTCAGGTGGGGAGCCGGGGAGGGGGCTGCGAGCTTGCGTCATTGCGTCAGCCGCGTCGCCCAGCGTCGAGTCTGGTGGGTGGGGTGGGTGTGTGGTGTGTGGGGCGTGGGGCGTGGGGTGTTAGGGTTTGTGAGGGGTATAGGTGTGGGGGGGGCGGCTGGGCCTCTTAGCAGTGCCCGGTGGCCGGGCCACTACCGGCCGCCTCTTGGACCGGCCGTGCCGTGCAGTGCCAGCAGGACTGGAGGCGGAGGGCCGAGGCCTGCCACTACTGGTGCCTCGGGCGGGCCGGCAGACGGCACGGTGACCAGCAGGCCGTGCCATGCTGCTCGGGCCGGGCCAAAACGCCAGACCACGGGCGGGCCCATCGGGCCGCGGGCTGCATGTACACATATACTTCCGAGTTCCGACCGATTATGAGATTGCTTGTATTTTGTGCTCGGATATTTTTTATCCTGCTCATTATCCTACCCGTTTGGAAGCTCTACTGGATTTTTTTTATCCGGATCGCAGAATCCTGGGGTATCCAGACGTGTGTGTGTGTTTGTTTTTTTAAGGTAAATGTAATTTTATTATTTTTATACTTAAAAAATATGAATTGTCTCCGGTGAGTTATCCTTTTAATTGTAGTTGTCGGTTAGAATTCATAAAATGGACACCTGCCCTGCAGTCCATTTTCCGCGCCCACACAGGGCTCACGCCGCTCTGAACATCACCAGTATCGAGAAGAGGAGGAGGGGATGGAGGATGCCCAGCCAGCGCCAGGAGGAGGAGACACTAAGGCGAGGCAACAGAAGGCAAGTTGTGAGCATTCAATTTACTTTTGAAACATCCAGATATAACACTTGTAACATATGTATGAAGACAGATGAAATATGTGGAACATGCATCGGAAACACTTGTAAAAAAACCTAAAAACACTTTAAACCATGGTAAAACATACGCAACATTCGTATAAAACACATGCAACATATGTGTGAAACATAAACAACATCTAAATAAGCACACTTGCAACATACGTCTAGAAAAACATATGAAACTTTAGAAACAGAAGTTTGCAACATACGTGTACAACCATTGCAACATATGCAACATCCTGATCTACTTTTGCAACATCCATATGAAACACTTACAACATACCTATAAAACATCAACACTTAAAACATAAGGCTTGCACCATGCGTTTTTCATCCTTCTTCCGTACGACGCAGCGCAGAGTGGGGGAATGGTCGAGGATGGTGGCGTGGCCTGGCAGCGGCCAGCTGCGCCAGCGCCTGGCCTGAGCCCGGCCAGAGACGACCCCCTCTCCTGGCCACCTAGCCTGGGCGCGGCGATGGACATAGCACGGCATGGGGCAGCGGGACGGGCGGACAGCCGCACGACGGACGAGTGCTGAGCGTGGACATTTTTTTTTTGGTACGGACGGACGAATGGATGCCCGAGCCTTGAGCATCAGCGTAAAATTTATCTTTTTCCCATCAAAATACAACTTACATCTCGACATAGGGAGTATTTAGGTTCAAAAAATAGAGGCAAACTCCTTTCGACCTGATAGATAGCACATGACGTACTCCATCCAGTAAAAACTACTTATCATATTTGACAAAATCTTGTCTTAAACGATGTGTTTTTATAACTAAAGGGAAGAGAAGAGCTATTGAGGCTACTAAACATCAGAGCATCTCCAATGGTTTGCCATTTGCACTTGCTATCCTTGGTTATTTGGCAAAAACTACAAATTTGTTTCTCCAGTGGTTTGCTAAAACACTTGCCAAATTATGAGGAGTTGCTATCCAGGGGTGAGACACGCGCAAATTTGCGCGCAGTCCTCGACTTGCCATCGCGCGAGGAAGCCCGCGCCGCCCCTTCTCCCGCGCAGCCTCGGAAAATTCCGAACTCCTTCCCGCGCGTCTCAATTATCGTCGCTCGTCATATAAATCGCCGCGCCGTTCGGTCTCCTCGCCGATGAGATCGAGTCAGTCCCTCATGCCGCGGTGGTCATCGCCGCCCCGTCCTCTTGCCTCCGTCGTCGTCCGCGCGGCGTCCGTCTGTCGTTGTACGCACAGCCGTCCTCCGTCCGCACGGCCTCCGTCCGTCGTCGTCCGCGCGGCCTCCGTCCCTCCCGTCCGTGAAGGTATGTTCCTGGAACTGGCCAACTGAGTAGCAGTAGGGTAGCAGTACTGATGAAGGCCGGTAGTTGTAGAGTTGCAGATGGATTGATGAAGGTATATGTTAATCGTCTTGTGCATGTATCTGCTAGATGGATCCGCTCCTTTATTTGTCATATTGTGCATGTATCTCTGCTGTCCATCTGCTATCGTAATCAAAGACTAGTGTTCTTTTGTGCATGTACTTGTCCATCTGATATCTCTGTTGTTCAGAACGATGAATAGTTGTAGCCAATCATTCATTGCCATGAAAGTTGTAATATGCAAGCTGTTGTTTATAATTTTTTTTAATTGCAGCAAGCTGTTGTTCAGGCTGCTATCCATCATTATGTTCAAGCTGCTGTTGTTTTTGTCAATTTGTAGAGCCTACTGTCCTTTTATTATTTTGTTCGGAATCATGAATAAATAACAAAACTGTAGCCAATCATTCGTTGCCATGAAACAGTAGTGTGCAAGTTATTATTATCGCAGCAAGCTGTTGTTTATAATTTTTTTAATTGCAGGAAGCCATGAAAAACTGTTGTTTATAATTTTTTTATTGTATGTTTTGTAGAGTTATGGAGATGCAAGGAGGAGATGCAAGTTTCTTGTCGGACATTCTTCTCAATGGAGGAGATGGTACCGTTGCTGGTTTGGACGAGTTGAGCATTGGACTCACTCAAGACACTCAAGGTCAGGACGAAGTGCAAGCTATCAAGAATACAAAGGGAACGAAGAGGACCAAAAATTTTCATTGGAAGGAGGATGAAATTATATGCTCAGGCTGGCTGAATGTAAGCAAAGATCCCATTGTTGGTGCCAATCAATCTCGTTCATCTTTTTGGGGTAGAGTTCATGCTTTTTTTGAGAAGCACAAGAAAAGTACAGCTGTGAGGACTGAGAGTTCCATCATGCATAGGTGGCTGACAATTCAGTACCAAGTAAACAAGTTTTGTGCATGCTATGAAGCAATTCTACGAAGGAATCAAAGTGGGTTCACTATTGAAGACAAGGTACAAAATCATGTGGTGTTTTATTTTAGTTGTGATTATTTGTGAATGACATATACACTGACAATTTCTTGTACAGATTAACGAAGCAAAGAAGTTGTATATTGAATGGGACAAGGACAACAAATCATTTGGCCTTCTACATTGCTACACCATATTGAAGGGAGAAGACAAGTGGAAAGCGAAGATGATAGAACTGGCCGAGATTGAGAAAGAGAAGCAAGCCAACAAGAAGAAACAGAAGCCTTCGAGTAAGGTGTCAAGGCCGAGAGATGATGAAGTCAATAGTGAGGATCATGTCATACAAGTTGATTCTGAGTCTCCGGAACCAAGGAAAAGGTCAGAAGGAATAAAAAAGGCAAAAGAAAATTTGAGGCGTGGAGGTGACGAGGCTTGCATGGAGGCTTTGGGAAAGATGATGGAGGAGAAGAAAGCCTTGGATATGCAAAAGGAGAAGGCCAAAGAGGAGAGGTTCATGGCTACATTAGAGTTAGAGAAGGCGACATTTGAGCTAGAGAAGAAACGGGTGGCAACCGAAGAAAAAAAAGCAGAAGCCGAAGAAAAAAAAAGCAAAAGCGAAGCTAATGAAGGAAGAGAAAGAAATTATGTTAGCGGACATGTCCTCCCTCAATCCGATCCAGCGTGAATGGCTTGCGAAGATGCAACAGCAGATTGTCGAGAGGATGCGCGAAAATTAAGTTTAGTTCAAGTTCGGGTTATATCAATTTTAGTTAAAGTTCTTGTTTAGTTCCAATTATGAAACCTTCATTTCAGTTTATGTATCCTTAATTTCAGTTGAATTTTAGTTATCATGAATTCTTGGCCGGCAAATCTAATGGATGTGATAAAAACTGCTGGTACTACTGTTTTGACAAGACCGAGAGATGCTTGATGCAGATCGGATGACAAAGTTGAATTTTGGAACCATAATGATAAACGGATAGCATTCCACTTAATTAAAACAAGCTAATATAAATCTCGATGAGTTCAAACAGATAGTATTCCACTTAATTAAAACAAGCTGATATGAAGCAAAAATAAAACGAAATAATATCTAATATAAATCTGGATGATGGTTCCACAAGTGCTCGATGAGGTCTTCTTTCAGCTGATCATGTGTTTCCTTGTTTCTGATCTTCCGGTGCGCATCAATGTATTCATCAAGTGTTCGAGTAGCTCGTCCATGAGCAGGTTCAACATTATTTCCACCATAATCAAAACGCTCGTTAGGGTCGACCACGAATCCTTCATCTTCCACAATCATGTTATGCATGATCACACAAGCTCTCATAATCTGAGATATTGTATCTTTGTCCCAAATGTGAACGGGACCTCGAACAATAGCAAACCTAGCTTGAAGAACCCCAAAAGCTCTTTCGACCATTTTCCTAGCTGCTTCTTGCGCTTTGGCAAAATATTGCCTCTTGTTCCCTTGAGGAAGACTGATCGACTTGACTAAAGTAGCCCATGTGGGGTATATGCCATCAGCTAGGTAGTAGCCCATTGTGTAATCATGGCCGTTAATGGAATAGTTAACTTGTGGAGCTCTACCTTCTGCCAAGTTATCAAACAAAGGTGACCTATGCAGAACATTGATGTCATTATGAGACCCGGGCATTCCAAAGAAGGCATGCCATATCCAAAGGTCGTTCGAAGCAACTGCCTCCAAAATGATGGTGGGCTGCTCCACATGCCCCTTGTACTGACCCTGCTTATCGTACGGACAGTTCTTCCAAGCCCAATGCATACAATCGATAGAACCTAACATGCCGGGAAAACCTTTTTGCTCACCGATTGCAAGTAAGCGTGTTGTGTCCGCCTCAGTGGGATATCTGAGATACTGTTCTCCAAAGATTTCATCCACTGCAACAACAAACCTCCGTAGGCTCTCAAATGCAGTACTTTCGCCAATGCGAATGTACTCATCTGTGGCATCAGCGGGAACCCCATAGGTGATCATACGCATTGCAGCAGTGATTTTTTGGAAGCAACTCAACCCAAGTACATTTGCCGCGTCCCTTTTCTGCACAAAGTAATCATCGTGTGCTTCAACGGCGTTCATTATGCGTAGGAAAAGCTCCCTAGACATCCTGTACCTGGAAAAAAATAAATTTTACAAACTCCAGTAATATTTAAACACAGATAACAAGTCAATCCGGAGTGAAAGAACACCAACCTTCGACGGAATAATTCAGGGCCATATGTTGGATTCACTGCCAAATAATCTTGAAACATCCTCTCATGGCCGCCTTTTCTGTCACGGTAAATCATTCTACGACCTAGGACAGAGCCACCGTGTTTTTTTTCATTGGCAAAAGTATCAACAATTGCAGCAGTCCCTAATATCAAACAATCCTCATCATCGGATGATGAATCATCCAATTGCGTTCGAAGAAGGGATCTCTTCCTAGACAAGATTCCTGAATGACAAATATATCCTAAATCAAAACCCCAATTCACAATAACTGAAAATAAGAACTAGGTTGCTGCAATAAACAAATCATAACTAAAACTCTCCATAATTCGTTGATGCAATATTATTTTTTGGCTACATTTTTTTTCATACGCTAACATCTGAAAAAAAATCAAAAACAGTAACCTGAACATATTGATTGGAATCTGAACATGTAGACAGCAGCCTGAACAAACTCAATGTAATTTTTGAAAAAATCAAACTCAATGTATTCATCTAGGCATATTCATGATACTGAACAAATACGGAGGAGGCTGGGAACAAATAACTTGAACGAGATGCTGGGAACGAGATGCTACGAACCAACTTGGAGCACTCTAGGAACGAGATACTGACCTGCGTATGATGGAGACACGGCGGAATCAAAGATCGGCACAGCACGGCGGCCAGGAGATGGAGACCACGGCGCAGCACCACGTCCAGGAGATGGAGACCGGCGTAGGATGGCGGCCAGCAGATGGAGATCGCCGCGATGAAGCAGCGACGCACGACGGCCACGAGATCTCGGCACCGAGCATATGAAGAGACACGGGCGCGGTCCAGGCCGAGCGTCGCGACAGTTGAACGGTTGAAGGATGTGGGCCTCCTTTTCTATTTTACCAAGCCCAAATGCCAAACCATTGGAGATACAAGATTATTTCACTTGCCATTTGTTTTAGCCACTTGCCAAAACCCAAGATTTGGCAAGTGCAATTTGGCAAACCATTGGAGATGCTCTTAGATGATTACTCGATCGTGACCTTACTTGCATTTTTTTAATAATTGATAAAAACATGTGGCTTCATCCACCTCCTTCAAGAGATGGAATTAGACCAACATTTTTACAAATACTAGCCACATCTCAAAATGAGTGTAAGACCCATAAAAGCCAACCCCTAGAAAAACGATGACACACTATCAAGTTCTTAACGACCAATATGCAACCTAAAAGGCCTATAGTGACGCGCACAAAGGTGACACGCTATCAATTTCTTAACAACCAATATGCAACCTAAAAGGCCATCCATGGTAATAAATAAAATAAAAAACCTAAATTGCCGAAGACTCCAAGGTTTGGCATGGCTAGATCAATTTGCTCTTGCTGATCTTCACGGCGTAGTGTTTTGCTGTAGTAGTGTTTTGCTGCCATCTCAAAGGCCCTCGTCAATATATTTGGGGGCTGGCCACCATTGAGTTGATATTTTCCATTAATCTGAAAGAAACACAGTGCAGTGAACAGCAATGGATAAGTTGCTAGCGGCTGACTGGAAACGAGACGTAAATACTACTGTTGCCTAATCCACATACCACTGTGTCAGATGAATACTTGTTGTTGAGTTCTTCCCAAACCCTTTGGAGCAAAAATGACATGAGAGCCTTCCAGAAGAGAATATATATGGCTAGAGGGAAAGAGATCACTTGAAAATATACCTCATCAACTCCATTGGTAGCATCTTGGAGCAGTTCTTCTGCTCCTTCTATGCCCACCTTTTTGCAGCATCCAGGAAAACCTCCCTTCAATGACATTTGGAAATTAAATTTAAATAGATTACCCGAATGCAATAGCGCAGAGACCAGAACATATTCGAATGCGATAGTGCACAGACCAGACATGAAAGGTTGCAACTTGCAGAACATTTTCAGTATGCATCATTGCTGTTGAAATGTAGGAGAAAAGAATACCAAACATAAACAACTAATTGCATAAACAGTGCTAATTTGCGAGACAAATCTATTAAGTCTAATTAATCTATGATTAGCATACGTTTACTGTAGCATCACATGGGCAGATCATAGATTAATTAGGCTTATTAGATTCGTCTCACGAATTAGCATCCATTTATGTAATTAATTTTGTAATTAGTCTATGTTTAATACTTCTAATTGATACCCAAATAGTTGATGTGACAGGGGTTTGTCCGGGGGATCAAACACCCTCTTACTAGATTCATTATGGAAATTATTTTGTCTATAAAGTAGGAGTATCAATGTGAGCAAGAGACTTTGCAGTAGTTGGAATTGCTGATGTAAGACAGAGGAGCCTGGGAAACAGGGGTCAGAGGTTCTGTGAGCCTCCGAGGGAATCCCTGTGTGTTGCTGGGGCTGCCAGCGTCTTTCTTTTCCAGTCGCTGCAGGGAGGAAATTCTGTTTTTCTGTGCGGACGAGCTGCAAGGCTCGCCACCAGCTCACAGGCTCATAGCCGCCCGCCCGCCCGTAGATTCGAAGTTTCAAACTCATCTCAGCTCCTGGAACTGAAAAGCTAAAAAGCCGACAAGAAACAAGGAGGTTCAATATACTTCTTTCACATATTTTTCAAGCTTACATTACGTATCATTTCACATATTTCTTTGTGCAAGCTTTAATGAAAAAATGATTGACGGGTTAGAAGTTTGGTGAATTAGAGTTGTGATGACAACAAAATGTTTTCTAAAAAAAGCTGACATGGCAAACTAGAGCGAATCCAAATAAGCCCTTTTAATTTTCCAGACACACACAGTTGATGACAAATTTTAAGTAAGACGCTTTGCAAATAATTGAACATATAGACATTTGAGTAAATTGCACCAACCATACATCAGCTTGTATGGTTGTATCACTTTGGTCCAACAAGTTACAAAACATGCAAACAAATACATGAACTTGTAAAATACGTGCATGTATGATCAAACGTACACCACACACCATATCTTGCTACCATGACAGGGTCACGTGGACTGTTGGTTAGTGTTAGACAGATTTATTAGGCCTTTCGTTTAGCATCTTGTAATCATGTCATTGGGCCTAATTGCTACAGGCCCATACACGCATAGAGCCGACGTACGTTCAGCCAGGTTCGCTTGCTCTTGATGGCAAGTCCTATATGTATTACGATTGATCAGTGAATATAATTATTGCGTGATTATCAATCCGCTTTCAGTTAGGTCTACGGGAGACAAAAGTGCCAAAATGAAAATTTGCGCTCCTTAGCTGTTCTTATTAACCAAACGATCAACGGCTATACTAAATGTAATGTTATTCTTTAGCTGAGAAATCCTATACCAAATATCAGTTTGTATTGAATATTAATGCTTTATACTAAATTTCATAGAGCGTACATCTTATATTTGTTTACTTCATGACCACTATGGGCAACAATGTACAAAGCTTGTATTTGTTAAACGATATCGAGAGATTTTCAGAGTTCTCAAAATACGATATTTGTGTTGTCTGAAACGCGTAACAAGTTATGGCAAACATCCAAAGCACAAACTTGCATTTTGGCCCTATATCTCTAGAAGTCCACGTTACCATGCCACGACAGCAAAATATGCAATGGTGGCGTATGTACATCCGTGCATACATATATTTGACAAGTTTGTGCATCCGTTTGCACGTTTTGTAACTTGTTAGATCAAAGTGATACAACTATCAACTGTTGATGTAATTCACTGATTCACTCTGGACATTTTGTAGTGTACTTTTCACTCGGAGCCACCGGAGCGGCGCGCCGCCACGAACGAGTCGGGGAAGGAGTTCGTCGACATCGTCTACGAGAAGGCCGTGGGAGAGGGCATCGCCAAGGTGAGGAGGATTCTTTCTTCCGTCGACCTCGACATCCTTGTGAAGCTTTGGATTCCTGGCAAAAGTGCTGCTGCTGGATTGTGGATTCTCCCAACGCCAGAACTTTAACCGTTTGTTGATTACGGATTACAATTACGAGCGTCTTGCATTCCATGTTCTGTTCAATGCATATGTATCATCGCTGCTGCAGATCACCATAAACCGGCCAAATAGAAGGAACGATTTCCGCCCGCTGACCGTGAAGGAGCTTATGCGCGCATTCAACGATGATAGTTCCGTTGGAGTCATCATTCTTACCGGCAGGGAAGGTACCACTACCACCGACGCTAGAGATGATAGTTCCAAAAAAAAAAAAAAAGCATTTCCGCGTCCATGGAGGATAATGGAGCTGGGTTTGCTCGCTGTCGGTGTCGGAGATGAGCTTATTTTCGATGTTTTGGTTGACCAGGGAACCGAGGCGTTCTGCAGCGGCGGTGACCAGGCGTTAAGAGATTCTGATGGGTATGTTGGGCCTGTTCGGCAGGACTGAAAATACTGTTCCGACTGATTGTTGTGAGAGAAAAATACTGTTCTGGCAGGACGTGAACAGTGATTTCGTGAGTGGCGGAACAAGCCAGCCGGCTGGCTTTAAGCTAGCCGAACACGCCCGTTGACTTCGATAGCTTCGGTCGCCTCAACGTTCTAGATCTCCAGGTCAGACACACCTCTTTGACACTTTTATGCATGAGTAAATAAACTTGATAAGTTATGGGGCACAAATTTTGTTTTCTAAAAGAGAATCGTTGTTGCGTTGAACTTTTCTTTTGAGGCGGAATTCTTTTTTCTTTTTAATAATGCACATCTTCTATGAATGATTTCTTTACACACAATACAGGCGTTCTTTCCACTTGTAGTGTAGGTGGTTTCTTTACTGAGGTTTGAATTGATTTACATCGTTCATCTTCGACACAGAATATGATAATGTATAGTCTGACTAGAATTCCTTACTACTGAATATATGTTGATGTCCCGCTTAGTTGATTTGCAGGATTGGAGCAGATTTTGCATGTCATGTTGGCACTTATAGTATTAGTGTGTAAAATAATACGTAATCTTTTAGTTTATAAGACATTAGGAGTTATTATTTTTTATACTAAGAACATCAGATGAATCATTTCTTTATGTGCAAATTCGTCAGTCTTCCTGTCGGTGTTTCGGAACCGGGGGTCCTTAACCGACTAGTGAATTTGTGCTGCGTGCTCCCAATTCCGGATGGTGATGCAAAGAGACACAAGGTTTATACTGGTTCGGGCAATGGATGCCCTACGTCCAGTCTGAGAAGATGTTCTTGTATTCCTTGCACCGGGGTGCTCGTAGTAGGGGGTTACAAGCTAGGCGAGAGAGGGAGTTCGTCCCAGGTCTCTGTGAGGGGAAGTGCTATGAATTACAGAATGAGGCGTGTTGTTCGTGCGAGTATTCGTGATTCTATCCGTCGTCCCTAGAAACGGTCCTGGCTGCCTCCTTTTATAGCCGCAGGAAGGAAACCAGGAGTACATAAGAGAGCTACACGTGGATCAAGGACTATTCGATGACGTATCTACTCCTGGAGCAGCATGGCGCTGTCGTGGGAGTTCTCGTAGATGTCTAATCGGTATGGTCTCCACTGCAAGTAACATGCTGCGCATTTGTTGACTTGGTGGATTGCAGAGGCTCGGCGGCCATCATAGCCGGTCGTGCCGAGGCCTGTCGTGCCGAGGCCTGTTGTGCCGAGGCCTGCCGTGCCGAGGCCTGAGAAGTGACCCAGGTGCGGATGCGGGTCTCAGCGGTCATCAGGCGGAATAGTGCGAGACGTGCGCCTACAGGATACGGTACCTGTATTGTCAGTAAGGGATGGTAGAAAAGGTGATCTGACCGTTGTCCCGTCGCTCCTGTTGCAGCGCACTGCCGATCGTGGCTTACGTAGCGGGTGCAGCTGAGCGCATTAATCGGATGCGACAGCCTGCCAAAGAGACTTTTGAGGCGGAGGCGACGAGGTTGTGGGACGAGCCCGGCCTTGGGCGAGGCGGAGCGCGGCCAATTCGTCCGAGGCCCTACCGGGGGGGTCTCGGGCGAGGCGGACGGGCGAGGCGGAGTAAGATCAGTGGATCCGAGGCCCTGTCGAGGGGGCTCGGGCGGGACGGAGCGGTCGGTCCGCTGATTCCGAGGCTACAGGAACCCGCTCTGACTCCCCACATTGTGATGTCCTTGGTGCTGGAGTTAGGCAGCACAGTGGTCGGTAACCCCTACTCTGTGCCGTCGCAGATGGCAGGAGGTTGACGCGACTGGCGTGTAGTCGGTCACTTCGCTGTACTGTGCCATCGTGCGTCTGTCGGAGTGGTTGGGTGCTTGGATGCGACGTTCGGTCAGAGCAGTTTGGTTGAAGAGGCGGCCACGGGGCTGGTGCCGAGCCGGCCTCGCGCGAATCGGAGAATCGGCACTTCTTCCGAGGCCCTGGGCGAGGGGGTCTCGACGAGGGGGCCTCGACGCGGGGGCCTCGGCGAGGCGGTCTCGGGCGAGTCAGAGAATCGTTTGCTTCCGCTGGGGCTCGGCGACGGGGTCTCGGGCGAATCGGAGATTTCGGCCGAGACCTCGTTTGTTCATTCCGTTGGTTCTGTTTTTAGGGTCTAAGCAGTTTTTCGATCTTTGCTTGGGGTACCCCATTTTCTGGTATCCGACAGTAGCCCCCGAGCCTCGGGCGGGAGTGTGGGATACTCTCCCCGAGGTTTTTTTGAGACTTTTGTTTCTCAGTGGCTTTTGTCGAGTTTGTTTTATACTCGTGATTCCGGTGGGTGCGCGCGAGCGCACCCGCCGGGTGTAGCCCCCGAGGCCCTAGAGGAGTGAGTTTACTCCTTTAGGGGCTTTTTCTTCGTTGAGTAAGGCGCTCTATCGCATTTGCTTGACCCATGAGAGCGAGCTCGGGTCGCTTGTTTGGGGTGCAGGAGGAGCACCCGAGCCTGCCGAGCCCTCGCGTGCGATCCTAGGTCGCTGGGTCTCGGTAAGGTTTGCAGGTCGCTGGGTCTCGGCAAGGTTTGCACGGAGCGAGAGGGCGGTCAGGAGTTCTCCTTGCTTTTTGTACGACCCTCGCGCATCCTTTTCGTTTGGAAGGAGGGATTGTTTGCCGAGCCCTTCGTGTGCGAGTTTAGGCCGCCGGGTCTCGGCAAGGTTGCAGGAAGAGCCCCCGAGCCTCCGCGCGGAGCGAGAGGGCGATCAGGAGTTCCCCTGGCTTTTTGTGCGACCCTCGCGCATCCTTTTTGCTCGGAAGGAGGGGTTGTTTGCCGAGCCCTTCGCGTGCGAGCCTAGGCCGCTGGGTCTCGGCAAGGTTGCAGGAAGAGCCCCCGAGCCTCCGCGCGGAGCGAGAGGGCGATCAGGAGTTCCCCTGGCTTTTTGTGCGACCCTCGCGCATCCTTTTCGCTCGGAAGGAGGGGTTGTTTGCCGAGCCCTTCGCGTGCGAGCCTAGGCCGCTGGGTCTTGGCAAGGTTGCAGGAAGAGCCCCCGAGCCTCCGCATGGAGCGAGAGGGCGATCAGGAGTTCCCCTGGCTTTTTGTACGACCCTCGCGCTTCCTTTTCACTCGGAAGGAGGGGTGGAACATGCCAGGCTACCATCGATGGGCGTGAGCGGTGACATTTCCGGTGAGCTTTTATCGGGTAAGTCCGAGTGGAGGCCCGTGCCCCATTCGATAGGGGTCGGCTAGTGGTCCAGAGACGCGCTCCAAAAAAGTACCAGAAGGCTTCTCTAGCGGGTGCCAGGGCCGTTCGATTGACCCTAGGGGCTCGGTGCCTCCCTACGGTGGGATCCCCTTTAGAGAACTCCTGCTGGTCTCGGACACGACTTAGGGCATCCCAAGCAATCGCTTGCCTGGGCCTCGGCCATGTACGGGCTCGCCCATAGTTGTCCCTGACTCTGTCGTCCTGAGGCGGCTGTCGAGACCATAAATGGCCCAGCCTTCGAACCTCTGGACCGTAGCGGGCTCGGTGCCCTTTTTCATCGTGTTTTCCGATCCTCGGGGTGTACTTCTCGGTAAGGTTTGCAGGAAGAGCCCCCGAGCCTCCGCACGTAGCGAGAGGGCGATTAGGAGTTCCCCTAGCTTTTTGTACGACCCTCGCGCATCCTTTTCGCTCGGAAGGAGGGGTTGTTTGCCGAGCCCTTCGCGTGCGAGCCTAGGCCGCTGGGTCTCGATAAGATTTGCAGGAAGAGCCCCCGAGCCTCCGCACGTAGCGAGAGGGTGATCAGGAGTTCCCCTGGATTTTTGTACGACCCTCACGCATCCTTTTCGCTCGGAAGGAGGGGTTGTTTGCCGAGCCCTTCACGTGCGAGCCTAGGTCGCTGGGTCTCGGCAAGGTTGCAGGAAGAGCCCCCGAGCCTCCGCACGTAGCGAGAGGGCGATCAGGAGTTCCCCTGGCTTTTTGTATGACCCTCGCGCATCCTTTTCGCTCGGAAGGAGGGGTTGTTAGCCGAGCCCTTCAGCGTGCGAGCCTAGGCCACTGGTCTCTCGCAAGGTTGCGGAAGAGCCCCCGAGCCTCCAGCGGGCGCGAGAGGGCGATCGAGTTCCCCGGCTTTTTGTACGACCCTCGCGCTTCCTTTTCGCTCGGAAGGAGGGTGGAACATGCCAGCTACCCTCGGTGGGCGCGGCGGTGACATTTCCGGTGAGCTTTTATCGGGTAAGTCCGAGTGGAGGCCCGTGCCCCATTCGATAGGGGTCGGCTAGTGGTCCAGAGACACGCTCCGAAAAAGTACCAGAAGGCTTCTCTAGCGGGTGCCAGGGCCGTTCGATTGGCCCTAGGGGCTCGGTGCCTCCCTACGGTGGGATCCCCTTTAGAGAACCCCTGCTGGTCTCGGACACGACTTAGGGCATCCCAAGCAATCGCTTGCCTGGGCCTCGGCCATGTACGGGTTCGCCCATAGTTGTCCCCGACTGCTGCCCCGTCTGGCGGCTATCGAGACCATAAATGGCCCAGCCTTCGAACCTCTGGACCGTAGCGGGCTCGGTGCCCGGTTCCTTAGCTCGGAAGGAATTGGCTGGGGGGTATTTCCCTTCCATCGGCTAACAACGCCCGGCGCGTCTTTTGAGGCGGTCTTCTCGGGAGCTGTCGTTGCTGCGCGATGTGGTGTCAGTGGATGGGACATAACCGTCTACGTGATTAAATGTGGAGAAGGTGGGCACGTGGGCGGAGATATCGGATCTGGATTATATGCGCCAACTGAGGGAAACTTCCCGATTTCGCCGCCAGCCAGCTTTTGTCTTACCCTCGCATAAATCGTAAAGAGCCTCGCCCTCCTCCTTACCTTGCTCGCATTTGCTTTCGCCGCCTCAAGCCCGTTCTTTTTGAGCGTAAAGCGCCGGGAGAAGAAGGGCGAGAGAGATCGGTTGAAAGAGAGAGAGAGATTTACCGCCGTGCGCGGCGTCCTCCACCGCAAGAATGGTCGGGCGGTCCCTGCTATTCTCCGGTGGATCCACGGG